TTAATATTTCCGGGGCCGTTACAAGTCTCCACCTTTTTTTTTCTGTACTTCCGTAGCTCGCACCGTCACCGTCTTCCTTCTCCTACTCTCTCTTCTCGTTCCTTCCTGCTCCGGCTTCTCTCTCTCTCGAATCTTCTCTTCCCCATTTCCTCCTCTCTGTTTTTCCCTCTTTTCTTTTCTTCTTTTCTTTTTCTTTTCCGATTTATATCCCACCTACCTCTCATCCTGACCGTCCATCCCATCTCATCCTAGTCGTCAGCTCCCTCTTCTCCAAACGACACCGTTCCCTCCTCCTCTCCCCAAATATATAATTATGTTCATAATTAATATAGAATAGAATTTCAAATAGATATTGAATATTCTAGAATAGAACATAAATATAATTAGATTATATATAGTTAATCTAGAATTTTGATTTCTTTTTTAAGTTTAGCAATAATAAACATCTTAATTAGATAGGAAATCCATTAAATGACATCTGTTTTATATATTATTATTATTAATATTATTACCATATACATATATATATATATATATATATATACAAAAGAAAATTTAATCCAAATATTCAAATATCAACTACTACACTGTAACTCTTCAATCTTTTTGGGTAGGATAAACTATAACAAATATACATACACATGTATAATAATATATATAGTATTTCTCTCTTTAACAAAACTCCCAGCAATCTAAATACACACATATACATATATGTGTGTATATATAATAATTCAATTAGACAAAAATTTGACCATTAATGGAGAAGTCGACACGTTAGGCCCCCTAATAATCAGTCATATTTTAAGCTTGGTTGCAACCAGGAATGCCAGCATTGTAACGGCCATAGGTCACAATCTGCTTGCTCTTAAATTTTCCATTTAAATATAATTATTAAATAAAAAGTTCATAGCAAAAGACAAAATATTTACCGTTTAATTAAACAATAATTAATTAATTTTTAGATTAATTAAATTTTTATATATTAAAATTATATATCTGCATAATCCAGTGAAAAGCAAATCATTTTATGTCATAATAAGAATTCTCTTCAAAATAATCAAACACTATCCTTTGAATTTAAGTAAAATTCTTTTTTATTTCATTGGAGGAATATAATATATCATACAAACAAGGTCTCACAAAGATACACTCAGATTTTTTACCATTAAATCAAATTTCAGAAACCCCAGAAAATCTGCTCAGACTTACAATCTGATTTTTTCAATATATATATATAGATATGTATCTATGCATAAACATGATGTTGCCTATATCTTATAACAACTAGCACCATAGCATAATAGTGTATTAATAATCAATGTTAATAACGTAACAGGCAAGCTCCAGAATTCCTCCCTCAAAAGAATTGCACTTCTCTCTACTACTCTATATATACATATATATATATATATATATACACCATACATCATATTTCCCTTGCATAATCGACCAACATCAATACTGCATGATCTTGTGTCCTACAACAATATGGTTCAAATTTCAAGCAGATCAACCAGAGAATCCAGGCTTGTGTCAATGGTTTCTGCAGCAGCTAAAGAACCCATCGATTGCGGATTGACAGATCAAACAGACCAGTACCAGTACCAGTACACCACCAATGTTGCTGTCATCTTTGGCGTTACAGGGCTGGTGGGTCGAGAGCTTGCCAAGCGATTAAGCTCAAAACCCAGATGGAAAGTTTATGGGATCGCCAGGTTTCCCGCAGAGATCATACCAATCCAAACTCAGAACTACACCTTCATCTCCTGCGACCTGCTAAACCCTAATGAAACCAAACAGAAACTATCCTTTTTAAGAGACGTGACTCACATGTTTTGGGTCACTTGGGCGAGTCAATTCCCTCTTGACTCACCAGAATGCAGTGAGCAGAACAGGGAAATGCTGTCCAACGCGTTGAATGTTATCCTCCCGGTTGCTAAATCCTTGAAGCATCTTTCTCTCCAGACAGGACTGAAGCATTACGCATCAATCCAGGCGAATTCAAATGAACTCAGCCGAGTTTACGATGAAGAATCTCCACGAGTTAGCTCAGGTTACAACTTCTACTACGCGTTAGAAGATCTGATCCAGCGGAAACTTGATAATAATAATAATGGTAATAATAAATTGGGTTGGTCTGTTCACCGGCCTGGTTTATTACTGGGGAGTTCAAAGAGAACAATGTTTAATTTCATGGGGAGTCTGTGTGTTTATGCAGCAATCTGCAAGCATCTGTCTTTGCCTTTCGTCTTCGGAGGGAAAAGGGAATGTTGGGAAGAGTTTTGGATCGACGGTTCAGATGCGCGTTTGGTAGCTGAGCAGCACATCTGGGCGGCCACCAATGAAGAAATATCCGCCATTGATGGCCAAGCTTTCAACTCCATTAATGGAAA